GTACAGCACTCATAAGCAGTGTAAATCGAACCCAGGACTTTCATCCTTGTGCGCGGACTCTTAACCTCTAAACCACTGAGCTGTCATCAAACACTGTTAATGCCTAACTTTGATCGTTTCACGGTCTTGCTCAACCTCATCCACTGTTTTTGGTGCATACTGCCTAACACTGCCAAGTGCTTTTAGGTTTCTAATAGTCGTCTAACATCGGTCGATTCATGGTTTCAAAGAAATTCAACAATCTCCACAACCCAAACATGAAAAACTTCTATTATGTTTATTTTTAAGACTGAAATACTAAATTTCAATTTGAGACTATTGGTCTAAAATCAACCTTTTATTTCATTTATTACCTTATTATGATATAAAATGATATGAAAATTGATTATTTAAATTAATTAGTAAAGCTTTTATAAAAGAATTTATTTATTTTCGGAACTATAATTTGAATAAGATTATATTCAAATTATTGTTGTCATCTGGTTGTTAGGCTAACAAGGCTTGACAACAGACTGTTGCTTTGGTTACTAGTCATTATTTTTCCAACTGTAACTAATTTATTTTATCGGACATTACTTACTTAAGCCTGTCAGCCCTAATAGAGCATTTTCAAACTAACTCTATCCTGTGCCTTCTTTTACAATTCTACACAATTTCCATTCTTTTTTTTTTATGTCTGTGTCCAGTTCTCGGAGCAATGTGTTCTTTGGTCTGATTCTTTTAATTTGGCCTTAAGGATTCCAAACAAGAGCTTGTCTTGTAATTCAGTTAGGTGATTTCCACAACATATGTCCTATCCACCTCCAGTACGTTTTGCTAATTTCTTCCTCAACTGGAATCTGATATGTTTACGCTCACAGTAGGTTGCTGTTCATGGTATTTGGCCTATGGAAAGATTAGGCCGACTGTTTAATAATTACAACTTACCATACATGATGAAGCTGTCAATTAGCATGTTACAATGTTTTCAATCTTTTAGTCTTACACTCTACACGTGATATTAATTAAACTAGGTGAAATGGAAAAAATAATGATCAGACGTGTAGTAATTTGTATACCATAAACAGTTTTACACAAAGTGGAATAAAAACCCAATCCTCCAGTGAAATTAATGATATTTTTAAAAGACTTAGTTGAATTTCATAATCATCTTTAGAAAAAAAGAGGAAAAGTCGGTGCAACATTACACAACTAGATCAACGTATGAAAATAAGTACAAATGTGAAATGTATTCATACTAGAGAATGAATGAATGACTTTATCTAGTATATTAGTGTTGATTTGTAAACAGTTAAATTTGAGAGAAATTCAATCCGGGATTTCATTTTTCCAGTTATATAGGCGAATTTCATTTTACAAATAACTTGATTTATCGCTTCTTAATTGGGCATTGATTTTTCAGTCATTTGTGAAAAGATAATTCATAAACTGAACTGATTATTGATGATACAATTATAGAATTACCCTGAGGTGATAGCATAAGAATTTTTCAAAAAAAATTTTCGTGGAAGTATTTTTTTTGTCAGTTGGAAACAGAACAAACAAACAGGAAATGTAAACCTTAAAACTCTTTTCTAAAGTTTAAGGGGTTGAAACAATTTTTCACTTATAAGTCAGCTAACTTATTATTTGCCAATGAATATATCTGATATATTTTTAATTTTTGCCTAAATTAAGCATATTTTTTGGTATAGATATTTAGTATCGTATAAATATGCGTTCTGGGATATATTTACAATACATCACTTGTAATTGTTCAATGTTCTTAGGTTAGAACAATATTGGATTAAGTTACTTGACGCTATTTATCGTTTATATATGTGTTAATAACAATTAATTTGTACCACATATGAACAATTACATATAATAAGTTTAGTTCTATTAAAATCATAGATCGATCTAAGTTAGATAATCAATGAAAAGCCGTGAGCATCGGATGGATTTTTCGTTCTAGTATGGGATGCCTCAACAGTGAGTATCTATGACCTCGTACCCGAGACATAAAGCAAGAACATCCAATGTGAATGCTTAAAATCGAGACCGCTGGGTAATGATCCAGTGGTGTACCAGTCTAGTTTCAATCAACCCATGATATTGCGTGACCGTACCGTAAACCATCGAAGATCGGTTTTGAATTCCCGATGTTTGATGTCAGCCAAAGAGCACCGGACAGCTATTCCACCATGTTACGGAACTCTTAAACGCAGATGAAAACAGAAATTTTCAATATCTCATACATATATTCCGTCTGATAAGCTGAAATTGACTTCACAGTGGTGGTAGAGTTAGTTTCGTTGAAAACTTTTACATAACACGTATAAAAACAAGTCTTAATCATTCTAGTGTGAAAGAAACAACTCGAAACTCATACATACATATTTTATTTATTTATATTGAAATTACATTTACCTGAATTTTTTTCTATTATTTAGCATATATATTACAAGGCTTCAATTTCAAGTCCAGAAAAGACATTTACCATACTCTTATCTTTCCTTGATACTGTACAAAATTTTCAACTCATATAATGGATAGAATAAATTAGTAGAGAAATAATATTTATTATTGGTTGGTACTTCCTTTTTTTAAGAAAAAATGTACTCGATCAAATCTTTCATATGAACATTTACCATGAATGTTCATTCTGTTTACAAAAAAGATTCGTTCAAATGACATATTTTTTTAAAATTTCTCAATCAATCAACTGCGACGTAGAACTTCGTACGTACGTACGTCAGTTCATGTTTTCATACCACATTAGCACAGAGACGCCACTGTCAGTCCCATAGTGGTAGATGTAGTAGAGGTATTAGAAGTAATCGGAGAGATTACAGTTCGAAAATATTTTTAAAGAAGTAGAGGCTAGTGAAATAAACTTAAAAAGACAAAGCTGATGAAGAATTCAGGTTAGGATTTGAGAGAACACAATGAATGAATGCGCCTGCGCCATTGCAATCGGCTTTAGGCCATGTCGTTCAAGGTCTCTAACGATCGATTACTATAATCTCGCGGATCCCAACCACCTAGCAGCACCTAACAACATGACCCAGTACATTTGTCAGTGACTTCATGGATTTGTGCCGTGTTTTGGTGTGGTCGCGCCTAACTTTCTTCCAACCTACTCCTACACCAAAAAACATAGCTCGTTGAGGCAGTCGGTGGTTGGGCATACGTAACACATGTCCCAACCACTTCAACTGATGAAGTTTTAATACTTCATCTATTGACCTGCCATCCTTACCTAGAACCTGTTCCCTAACAATATCACTGCTTACTCGATTATCTCAGGGTATGCGAGCAATGCTTCGAAGACACCTATGATCGAAAACACGTAACCTTCAAATAACTTCTACTGTTATTGGCCATGTTTTACAGCCATGTAGTAAGACGGAGCGAACTACTGCGCAGTACACTCGTCCTGATTTCAAATGTGTAACTTAAAAATCTTCACAACCCCGTAATGCAATTATCTCTGCTCACCAGTGACTAGCTCCGTGAGGAACCTTCTCCGAGTTCTAGTGAGAAGTCGTGACCAGTGGAGATAACCTCTGTTCGAGTTTAGACAGTAACTATCGAAGACAATGTATGAGGTTGCGCAAGGCCGTGAATTGATCGAAGTTAGACATTAACACCGTTAGATTCCGGCTCAGTGGTCCAGAGCTTCGGTGTTAGCTCGCAAGAGCGAAGATCCTGGGTTCGAATCCTGAGAGGTGCAGGAGTCGTGGATGCACACTGCTGATGAGTCCCATATCAGGACAAAATGGCCATCCAGTGCTTCCAGGTTTCTGATGGCGATTCAACATTGATCGATTCATGATTTCAAATGAATAATAAAGGTATGAAGAATTAGCAATCAGACATCCATAATATTTTAGTAGAATCAACAAGATACAAATCAGCGGTTGTTTTATTTGTTTCATGTGTATTGCATTTGAACTGTTGGTGAATATTTGCGTAGGAATACTGAAAAAATATAGTTATTTAACCATGAAATTAATTTTTTCAATTACAACTTATAACTAACAGAATTCAATTAATTTTATTTTAGATTTTGTTGCTTCATATCAGATCATATGAAATCTAATTTATAGTGACAAACGTGTATTATTTTTTATTCAGGAATACACAATCTAAGCAACAAACATTTAATTTCTTTCAGTCTTTCGATGATATGGACGTTTGCTGTGTAAATTACATCCAAATTACAAATCATGTCTAAAGAATTTCCTAAATAAATAATATTGTCCTAGCTACTTAGCTGTTTCGAAACGAATGCTGGAAATCTTAGTAAGCACCTGAGTTCAGTTAAATCAAACAAGCTGGAAGTGAGGTAGTCCTACAGTGATGACATTTTCAACGAGTATTGTGCTACATCAACCTAATAAGATTAAAAGCGTAAAACATTTCAATTTATTTATATCGATGTTTAAGACTGTAAATGATCAGTCTGTTTTGGCATCTGTTTATCCTCAGTGGATGACTATATATATATGTGGTGCGAGCTACTTATAAGTAGTATATGACGTGTCAACGTAATGTCTGGCAGCAGAAGATGGGGGCAAATCAAGAAAGGAAGAGTGGGGACACAATGGAATTTGTATGAAACGCATGAATAGTGACAATGGATTGATGTTTTGCAACAGGAACAGTCCAGTTCGATATGACGAACTGATATTTTGCAAATTAACGATTTACGATATGGTTTTCCGATTTTACTGAGTAACTCTGTAATTTTCGTTAAATACAATTCGGTTTCCCCACCTGTGTTCTCCTTCACTACATATATATATAGTAGCTAGGTGGATAACGCGATGTTGTTTGAAGTGAAAGGTACAAGGTTCGAGTTCTGGAGTGAACACCAACCAAGATGCAAGTACACCCAGTTGAAAATTCCCATATAGGACTAAACGCACACCATAAAATTCCATTACTAGCCACCATCTAACTCTGTGTACCAAAAACACAAGAAACTAATCAAACCAATCAATATTTCCCATTAGAAACCTTTTTTATTACATCAAATTAAGATGATACTTGAGTTTTTTTGTTTCTTAAAAATATAATCATCGTTTTTTAAATGCACCACAAGTTCGTGTAAATAAAATGATATAATTTTATTCAATAAACCAATCACTTCCTGGTAGTAGCAACAACTACTACAACAATAAACAAGGAACTCAGTAATTTCAAAAAATCAAGCTTCTAATAATTATTCATTTAAACAAAATAAAAATAATAATAATAATAATATTCACAAATTATAGGAAACAATACAAGATTATTGATTCACTCACTCACTCACTCAACCAACCAACCAATCAATCAATCAGATAAATAAACAACAATCTTATCAGTAAGTAAATATAAATCTTCTTTACAATTAGCTCATAACAGGATTCCATTGCTTTGTCGCATGATTATAACAATAGTTATGAGCCATGCCAGTTAGAAACAGAACAGAAGAAAAAAAAAAGCAAAAATTAAACAACAAGTTCATATTCAAGTGTTTTTGAATGGCATAAAATAATGACATCATTTATTGTTTAAACTGGTAAGAAGGATTAAAACATAGAAGTAAAAACAAACCCAAACGGTTATTCGTTGATTAACGATTGCGTAATCATTGATAAAGTAAGTTGGCAACGTTTCCTAGTAGTAGTAAGGAAAGTCAGCTAGTAAAGTACAATGATTACGCTATAGACAGGAAGAGAGAGGGAATATATATATGATCAGGAGTAACTTTGTTTCCCGAGTTTGATCAAATAAATAAAATTAGATTTGAGAAAAAAATCGAACCGATTTATTTCATATACTTACACACATCACCTTAATTATAAGCAGGATATATATACTACTTAGAATATAAAACTACTCATTAACGTATAAAATAATAAATAACACAATGTTTCCTAACTCTCGTGTGTGTGTGAGTGTGCATGTGTAGTTAGTTAGGAAGATGAAATATGTATGTATATATATATATATATATATATATGCATAAAATTTTTACTAATCATCAAAATTGATATGACTGTTACATAATACTGGCAATAAAGTTTGGAATGATTTGATCCCAAAAAAAAAACAAAAAATGTAAATCAACAAATAAAATATGTTTCATTGAACAATGAACAGGCGTTTTAAAAGGAACAATCTCTTTTTTTTTCTGTTTTCATGATGTGTAGTAAATAATGCGAAATTTGAATATTTTTTACTAAAAAAAAAAACAAATATCATAAGCCTGAATAATGAATGATTGAATTTAATGATTCAGCCGGTGTTAAATGTTCCGAGCATAAAGCTGTCATACTCGATGTGCCAGATGATAAACCAAGTTGACAATTTTCTAATAACCGTAATAATTCCGATGATGTCGGTCCACCGATATTATAACAACCATTATAGTGAGAATAAGAATAAGCATCTGTACCACCAGAGAAATAATATTGATTTTCATGATGATAATTATTATTATTGGGATAAATTTGAATTGCATTCGGATTATTTACTGGTGGTCCGTTAGAATTAGCACCAATCATAAACATTGTGTTGCCACCACCATATGAATTCATATTATTCATTGTTGAACCTGGATAAGATGGGATCTCTAAAAATAAAAATAGAAAATGTCTCTTATTAATATTTATTATTATTATTATTATTAGGTTTTAACTCTGCCTGGAGCTCTTCTGAGGTTACTGCCAGTCCCACGTCGGGATAAAAGAAAAGGGTTGGACATGGAGTTAGCGACCCTATTCTGTAGAAAACAAACATACTAAAAAACGCTAACTACAAAAAAATAATTCCAACCATTTGACCTCGGCCCTGAGTGTTGAAAGGTCTTCATTTAGAAGAGCATTGATGCCTCATGATGAAAGCCGAGTTTTTTCAGAACTCACGAGGCCAGTGCCCCTTCTGATAACCAGAACAATCATTAATATGGGTACGTGGAATGTTTGCACAATGTGGGAGACCGGAATAACCATTCAAGTTGCTGCAGAAATCAAAAGGTACTGAGTCACAAGGCAAGTCCTAACTTGGAACCCTAAAGGCCAAACGAAAAGAGGAAGACCGAATAACACATTTATGCCAAGAATCGGAAGCAGACATCAAAGGAATGAAAAGAAGTCGAGTAAAACTAGGAAGGAAGGCCCAGGACAGAGTTGATTGGAAAATGCTGGACGGCGTTCTATACTCCAACAGGGGTAACAACAGGCGTTAGTAATTATTAGGTTTAATCAAAATAAAAATAAAAGAGATTTATGAATAAAACTCAATGAGTTGTTCATAAATTTTGATTAATAGTGTCCTACTAGATGAAAATAAAACTATTAGCGAACCGATTTTCCTGATGGTATGTAAATCATGATTTCTAGTAAGATAATTTGAGACGCTAATCATTATGGTGGTATTACGAGAACTCATTGGTTGATTACATAGTCACGGATCAACTAGGTGAATCAACAGCCAATGAGAATTCAGAAACACATGTAAGATAAACCCTGTGTGAAATAATTTTATAGAATTCATCTCTCACTTGAAGTTAGTACTGATGACAGAAGTTGTTTAGAAAACAATAATCCTATGCGGTAAGTGAATCGTATGACTCAGAGATCGAATGAAACGACAACTAAAGGTCTTAGGTTCGGTTCCCGATGGGTTTATGCATGCGCAATAGTAAAATGTCTCGCATAAGGACAAAAAAGCAGTTTATTGCTTACTGATTATGAATGGTACCAGTAACTGAGATCAACCTGTAGCAAATAAAGCCTACAAAATAAGTTACTTTTTTATACCAAAAGAATCATTATTGACCTAATCACTTTGAATCATTTACAACATTAACCCAAGTACAACAAATAAAAAGCCTGAATAAAATACAGACCATGTGAAAAATTACATCCTCCATCTGTATTCATTGTTGATGAATTTGGTATAGTCATTAAAGGACCAGGTAAACCGGAACCAGTTCTTGAAAGATTTAATGCAGTTGTTAAATCCCAAACCTAGAGGAAAAGTACAAAAAGTAAACAGTTAGTGAGAAATTGCTAGTTGAATTAACAAAAGCGTAGAGATGATTCTTGCAGTACAACACTCCATGATGTTAGAGAAAGCACTGATGAACTAAAAAAAATAGTCTGTAGTATCAAGTCAAGGACCGAGTTAATGGTAACGAAAGTCAGATTTTGTAATGTAAATATTCTAGCATAATGAACTGAGGGTAGCTGAAGAATCGTTAAAAATCAGGAAGCTGTTGGATAATTATGATGAAAATAATATTAAAAATCAGTAAAACTTGACAAAAACATTAACAAATTTTGGGTATTAGGATGCAAAATTTAAAAACAGTGAATGGAACTGAAGAATATAAGTATAAAAAATCAGATTCTTTAAATCTACATGGATTAAAAGAAAAGATGTTCACCTGCGTCACTGTGAATCATGTAACTTAAGTGATATGCTTGAAACTATGATGAGTTCACCTTAGTCGATAAACAAGAACGAGACAATGATCAGTGACACGATAGGCTACTCTAATCCTCTGCCCCAACTAACTGAAGGAAAAGTCTTGATAAGGCGTAGAAAGTGTGTTCTACAAGCACCCAGAAATATAATGATCTCAAGAACATAAATCGCGTTTATTTATACATGATAGAAACGTCCTTGGGAGAGCCACAAAAATAGCGTACTAAAATAACACAACAACCAATCACAGCCAAGGATTTTCCTGGTGGGAGATGTAATCTCAAGGTCAACTTATCAGCCCATGAATAAAATCCAAAATTAGGACCTTTATCAAGTGAGTTCTGGTGATCTAGCGTCCCCAAAATTAAGACACTTCAGAAGAAGTCTGTAGCTTACTAGAACATTTTTAAATGACAGCACCCGACAGAGTCAAGTTTTGATGTAATAATCATTAAGGAATCAATAGAGATTATAACAGCTAATAAAATCGTTAACAGTTTCAATTATAAAGCTAAATCTAAAACGCTAACGTCAACCGTTTTTGCGTGGTATATGAAAGCAATGGCCTGGTGGTCATATTCTCCGACTTCCAACCACTGTCCCAGATTCGGACTACGCCTCAGCTAAGTCATTTAGGGTAGCCATGTAGTATCAGTACCTCTCACACTCCGAGTGTGACTTGTAGTTAAGTGCCTACTGAATGAGCTAATTCGTTCACTCTATATTGACTTGAAAGACTATTTCAGTGAAATTTCTTAGCACGTTTGTTATTTAAAGATTGAACACAGGCCGATTCAATCAGTCGAAAAACCGCTGAAAATTACAAGCATTTCAGGTTCACAATCTGGATAGAAAATCACAGATTAAAAATGAAACAGTTCTTCTGTGCTTCTTGTTATTTTTCCCATGACTATTCGTGGTGTAAACTAACTCCCGACCGAATCCAAATTTTAACAAACTGTTATTTAAAAAACACCTAACTCAAAGATAACCAGCTATATGTCAAGAGAGAATAACGATAAGACATTTGATTGAAAACAGAAAAAAAACTTCATCATCGATAGATAACAACTGCGAAACCATTGAAAATAAGGAAACACTAGACAAGGTGTTTCGTCCCAATATGGAGATACCTCATTAGTGAGTATTCAGAATTCTATTAAGAATAGATTTCAGCAATTTAATATCTCATGGTGAGCAAACGACTATCTGAATAATTGAGTTCGACTCTAACAGTTCACATCTTCAATATCAACTAATTTTTGATATCACACCAAAATGCTAAAGAGAATATTACTTACTTGAATTGTCCCATTCGAATGACCTGTAAATACATATCGTCTTGGATGAGCACCGACTCGATTAAATCCATCATGTTCATGTACAGTAAACGAACTGATAGAACTTCGATCAACCGAGTGAATGACACAAATCCTTGTTTGTTTTTTTTTCGAGAAAGCAAACAAATAAAAAGTTATTATAAATAAATAATTAAATAATAAATGAATTATATCTTGATTTGAATGAACTTTTTTTAATACAATATAAATATACGCATAAACTTGTGAGTCACAGAGGACATTTTAAAATTTCACCATCGTTAATAGTGATAATAGAACAAGAAAGAAATCGTAAATCTTTAGCAACTATAATGTCATATACATCAAAAATGAATCGGTCGCCAGTGTTGATAGTCCTTCTTATGCGGTCAAGTATTGCTACATATACGCACAAATACCAATCAAAACACCATTGATTGAGCAAAAACTGTTCACTAACATACATGAGTTGTTAACAATCTTGATATTTTTTAGATCATGAATCGATGATCGATTTTAGACCACCATTAGAAACCTGGAAGTACTGGGCAGCCATTTTGTCCTGATATGGGACTCATCAGCAATGCTCATCCAAGACTACGGCTACTCTGAGGATTTGATCTAACGCACAAATGCTTAGCCTCTAGACCACTGTGCCGACATCCAACGGTGTTAATGTCTAACTTCGATCAGTCCACGGTCTTGAGTAACCGCATCCACTATCTTCGGCGAGCACTGCTTCACGTCCAAACAGGGTTGAACTGCACCGGTATTATCGAAAGTATATTTTTTGTGCTGATCAACATAGACGTCAAATGGTTTTTGAACTCTCTATACATTAAAAATAGTTCATGGTTAAATGTGCCCAATGAATTTATGATCTATTACGATCGAAAATGATTTTGAACCTAAAATGAATGCTCCATTACTTGAGCAATTTATTCAGTATATGTAAAATTTGTATATTACAACTGCATTACTTATGAGTAATTAAAATTCGTTTCCTGTAATGTATTTTACAGATTAATTCGAAAGTGACTGGTCATCTGTTGAGTGACATTGAATCATTCATTGTTACGCTATTGTAGGTTGGCACCAGACTGTTTTAGTCAAATTCACTGCTTTGAACGTACGTTTAACATAAACTAATTACTGGTTGTTGTAGAACCATATAGTATTGACATACATATGTCGAGGAGAAAAGGTAGTCTTTTGACTTTATTCGACGTTTGGTAAATGATTCCAACAAATATAACATGAAGTAACAACTTTCTAAGCTTAAGAGTTTATTCCTGAAACGGATAAGATTAAACTCTTTATAAAGACAACATTATTAAAAATATATAATTTCTTAAAAACTTTCTTTTGGGTATCGAAGTATGAAAGACAGTGATTGAAACAGAGCTAGTTGTGAAATGACACTTCTATGATATTAAATGACACTTTAGTAAGAAAGCGATTGATAATAAAATAGAGAGAATTGAATAATGATTGGTTATTTTTCGGTCTTCATAATGTTATAATTAGAAATTTTGTACAGAACTGATAGCTGTAACCTTTTGATACATATTCACATATATTAGTGAATCAGTGATTTGTCCTTTAAGTATTTTCAAAAAATTTATTAAGAATAAATGAAAAATGTAGAAGATTACAGAAAGAATGCTATTTACTTCTGTTTCGAGCCAAGGATAATAGTGTTCCGAATAACGGAGTTTCACAATCTATAGGACTAGACCAGGTACCCAGTTTTAGACAACCACACCTCGACGTTGTGACACAAAGTAATCAATCCAGCGATTTATCCGTCCAACTTCAGCATCAGCAAATAATACTCGATGTGGAAGTTGATGAAAAGACATCAGTAAAATCTGATCAAGTTAATCCAACCGATCTCTCAGGACGGTGACACCGATTGAGTAGTCGTCACAGAACCCAAAAATACATCCCTGAACCGGAGCATTACTAACTGTGTTCCAAATGGATATCAGCAATCTTTCTAAGATAACGATGATCGAACACAGAGATTCACCGAACATCCTCAACTAAAAGAGGTTGCGTTTTACAAGTATACAGTAAAACTGCTCTAAATAGTGCATTAGGAACCCGATCTTATACATATAGACTAGGATCATGACGGCGTCAGAAATGCTTCAGGTTGATATTAGTCACATTATAATGTGAGAATTAGTTTAGTGAGTTCATTATTCGTTATACTACCTATGTCATTAGAGGAATCTCACTATTTAGTTGAACCATCGAAACAGTTCGTGAATCTCATACTAATTTATTTGACAAATAGCAACAAATATAATTTTTTTAAAAGAGATATGCTGGAACCTGATAAAAGATGCGATGCATTATATATAGCTATATATAACTATTCGATTCACCTTTAGCATAATGCTTTTTTAATTACAGATTCTGGTGACTTGAACAAACACATCGTAAAGATTGTTGATAATATCGGTTGGTTAGCAACAACGTAGAAGTTCGTACATACTTACATCAGTTCAACTTGCCATATCACATTAGCACACAGCTATAGAATTATAAACTCGAATCCCATACTGGCAAAGATAGTAGAATTATTAGCGGAAATCGAAAAGATTAGGGATCGAAGATATCATTCGAGAAGTATATTCCAGTGAAGTAAATTCAAAAGAAGAAGGGTGATGAGGAATTCAGAAGACTAGCATTTGGGAAGAGACAAAGAATGGATGCACGTGCGCCATTGCAAACGATTTTGAGCCATGTCATCCGATCTTTCTAACCATCGGTTAGTATTGTCGCACACACACCAACTTCGTAGTCTACACTTACTAACATGGTTCAGTCCAGTTGTCAGTGACTTTATGGATTTGTTCGATGTTTTGGTTTGGTGGCTCCAACTTTCTTCCAGCCTATCCTTAAACCACAAAACGTCGCTCGTCGAAGTAGCCACTGATCACACACATTTAAAAACAGCATTAAAACAATAACTTCCAGTAAACCTCTTCTGTCAAAAAGGATGCAACGACTCACCTTTTCCCTGTAGAAGCTAAACGTATAAATAACTGATTAGCTTGTGGCGTTAATTTTTGTACAAATACCAGAATATCTTCTCTTTCACCAAATGGACCAGGATTATTAGCATATTTATGTACATCAATTAAAGGACGAATTATATTTTTATGAGTATTGTTAGTATTATTGTTGTTACTACTATTATTGTTATTAGTAGTATTAGTAGCAGTAGCCGTTGTTGTTGTGGTTGTTGTTGTTATAGTAACAGCAGCATTATTATTTCGATTCCTAGTTTTACAGTTATTTAAATCGATATTATTATTATTATTATTACTATTACTGGCCTCATTATCATAGCGTCGAATTGATTGTTGTAAACCTCTACAAGCAGATGATGAACGATTTTTGATTCGATGATTGAATGTACTACTACCATTATGATTATTGTTAGTAATATCATTATCAATAGTATTGGCAATAGTTGGAGTGTTCAGATTATTTTCAGAGGGATTTGTATCAGTTTGATGATTTGAATTGAATAACTCACCATCAGATTGATTGTGTAACCTAAAATTTTTTTTTTAAAACATTGTTTCATTACATTAATAACTCAGTATTAGGCAAATATAAAATGCTGAGAATAAATAAATCTTTTCAATCGATACATAAATTATCATTTGACAGAATACGACCAAAATCACCAGCATTCATTTTGGGGAAATTAACTTTTGTGTTCAAAAGTATTTGTATAACTGATTTAAATGACTTGGTCGTCGAAATCGCCTATTCTATGGTGAGTTAGGAATGATTAACTACTCTTTTGTTCCGAATCGTTCACGCTGCTGTCATTTGCATTTAGATAAAATTTAAGCAAACAAACTTACTCAATCACTAGGTACTTAGGTATTATAAGTTACACTTCAAGTATGTGAGCTAATGATACTACACACTAACCAAATTGAAGTGGGATGAACGCAGTTCAAACCAGGTCTGTGATTGAAAGTCACTAAGTTATCGCTCTTAGATAAACGTTGATAGTATTTATCTTTTCGTCCTTGCCCATTTTCTATTTTTAATAGAAACTCATTTCCAGAAATAATTCCCAGATTTTTAATGAAAAGCAATGACTATTTTATTTCAACCATTTCAGGTGTGAGATCATACAGTTTCACGAATTTACTGAAGTTTGCAATGCAAAGCACTATTTACTTTTTTTTTTAACTTCCTTACGCCTGTTACCCCCCATGGAGCATAGGCCGCCCACCAGTTTTCTCCAACCTACTCTGTCCTGGGCTTCCCTCTCCAGTTCTGTCCAATGTTTGTTCATTCCTCTCATATCTTTCTCTATTTCTCGGCGTAGTGTATTCCTTGGCCTTCCTCTTCTTCTTTTGCCTTGAGGATTCCATGTGCGGGCTTGTCTCGTGACGCAATTAGGTGCTTTTCGCAATGTGTGTCCTTTGCGTTATCACGGCTTATTTCTGATTCCCTCCTCCACAGGAATCTGGTTTGTTCTCTCCCATAGTTCGTTGTTGCTTGTGGTGTCCAGCCAACGAATACCAAGTATTTTGAGTAGAAAACTGTTAATAAACACTTGTATCTTCTGGATGATGCGTTTCGTAGTTCTCCGAGTTTCCGCTCCATACAGTAGAACTGTCTTCACATTTGTATTGAAAATCCTGATTTTGGTTTTGGTTGAAAGTTGTTTGGAGTTCCAGATATTTTTCAACTGTAGAAGTGCAGCCCTCGCTTTGCCAATCCGCGCCCTCACATCTGCATACGATCCACCTTTTTCGTCGATGATGCTGCCCAGATACGTAAAGGTGTTAACGTCCTCGAACGCATCTCCATCAAGAGTGATTTGGTTGTTGCACGTTGTGTTGCATCGGACAATTTTGCTTTTTCCTTTAAGTATGTTGAGACCAACTGCTGCTGAGGCTGCTGCTAAACTGATCGTTTACTCTTGCATTTGTTGTTGCGTGTGCGATAGAAGAGCCAGGTCATCTGCGAAGTCCAGATCGTCCAGCTGCGTCCTAACTGTCCAGTTGATACCGTGAGGCCTGACACCGGTCTTCACCTCAAAAGAGTCTGTCAGCTGACCTCCGTGTACGATTTTGCAGTTGAATCCATCATAAGAATTCCGTATGATGTTGACTATTTTCTCAGGCACACCGTAGTGTCGAACAAGCCTCCACAGTGTTTTCCTATCCACGCTATCAAATGCTTTCTCGTAGTCGATGAAGTTGATGTAGAGTGGTGAGTTCCATTCAATTGATTGTTCCACAATGATCCGTAATGTAGCAATTTGGTCAGTACATGATCGATCCTTACGAAATCCGGCCTGTTGATCTCGAAGTTGGGCGTCTACGAAGTCCTTCATTCTGTTTAACAATACTCTGTTGAAGACTTTGCCTGGTACTGAAAGAAGAGTGATGCCTCTGTAGTTCTCACACTTGCTGAGATCGCCTTTCTTTGGTATTTTGATCAGGTATCCTTCTTTCCAATCTGATGGTACTTGTTCCTCATCCCAAATCTTCTTGAAGAGGATGTGAAATATTTTCGCAGTTTCTTTCTTTGCCTCTGCTGGAATGTTGTCTGGTCCTGCTGCTTTGCCGCTCTTGATTTGTCTGATTGCCATACTGATCTCTTTAATTGTAGGTGCCCCGACATCAATTGAGAGGTCCGTGGATGCTGCTCCGATGTTGGGTGGGTTCAGTGGAGCTGTTCGATTCAGGAGTTCCTGAAAGTGCTCTACCCACCTATTTCGCTGTTGTTCAGTGTTGCTGATTACTTTGCTTTCCTTGCTTTTCACTGGTCGTTCTGGTTTACGATAGTTTCCAGCGAGCTATCCCGTTTTTTCGTACAATTGTCTTAAGTTTCCGTCTATTACAGCTTTTTCCGCCGTCATTGCTAGATCTTCCACATATTTTCGTTTGTCAGCTCTGATGCTCTTCTTCACTTCCCTGTTTGCTTCTGTGTATGCAGCTTGTGCCTTAAATTTCTCTGCTCTTGTTCGGCTGACATTGATTGCTGCCCTCTTGTTCCTCCTTTCTTCAATTTTTTCAAGAGTACCAACAGAGATCCATTCCTTGTGATGGTACTTCTTGTGACCCAGAACCTCCTGACATTTTGAAGTGATTGCCTCGTTGATCCGTTTCCGATTGTTCTGCACGGTTGTTTCCTCTCGATTGATTAGATCCTGAAAGGCCTGGAACCTATTGGTGATGGCTATTTTGAATTCGTTGAGTTTTACGGTATCCTGAAGAAAGGCTGTATTAAACTTGTGTGATGCTGTCTGTCCCGTTGTCCAGCGCTTCTTTAGTTTCAGTCTCATTTTGGCGATCAGCAAGTGGTGATCTGAGGCTATATCAGCTCCTCTCCTGGTCCTCACATCCTCCATGGTCCTTCTGAACTTTTTGTTGATACAGATATGGTCAATTTGGTTTTGAGTAGTGTGGGCCGGTGAAATCCTTGTGGCTTTGTGAATGCGTTTGTGCGGGAATATTGTGCCACCGATGACCAGTTTGTTGAAGGCACATAGGTTTGCAAATCTCTCACCGTTTTCGTTCCTTTCTCCCAGTCCATGTCGTCCCATGATGTCTTCATATCCAGTGTTGTCCATTCCAACCTTGGCATTCAGGTCTCCCATAAGAATCGTCAAATCCTTTGGTGAAAATTTCTCGACGATTGACTGCAGCCTTTCGAAGAATTGATCTTTAACGTCGTCATTGTAGTCGTTGGTAGGTGCATAAAATTGGATGACGTTCATTGTAATGTCCTCTTTCTTTGTTTTGAAGGATGCTTTAATGATCATAGGTCCATGAGATTCCCATCCTATCAGTGCCTTTTGTGCATGTTTGGACAGCATCAGTGCAACTCCTTGTGTATGTGAAGCGTTTTCCTCTTCATGACCAGAGTATAACAGCAGTTCCCCTGAAGCAAGTCTCAGTTGTCCTACTTGTGTCCAATGTGTTTCACTGATTCCAAGCACCTCGAGGTTGTATCTTTTCATTTCTGCCGCAACTTGAAATAGTCTTCCAGTCTCCCACAATGTACGAACGTTCCATGTACCTAAAAAAATGGTTGCTCTGGTTGTCAGAAGAGGCATCGGCCCCGTGACTTCCGAGGGAACTCGGCTTTCATCACGAGACGTCATAATTGTTCTTCCAACTCCCAGGGCAGAGTTAAAATGGTTTGAATTATTTTTTCTGGTTAGCATTTTTTTGGCAAGTGAGATTTCGACGGAATGGGGTCGTCAACCCCATGTCCAACCCTCCTCCTTTATCCGGGGTTGGGACCGGTAACAAAGCACTAGGTGACAAATTAATCATTTGAAGGTCTAGCTCCACCAAGATGTTTAAATGTCCCGGGTTCAATCTCTGGTGGGATCACGGGTGGGTATTGTTGAAGAGCCACAACGAGGACGAAGTAAATATTTAATGTTTTCTGGTTTTCGATGGTTCTTGGTTCTTGGAGTTCAGGTGAGAAATTGCGACCAATATAGTTCAACCATGTTGAGCAAGAGAGAATTATTCACTGTAGACAATCAAAGGGTGTTTTGAAATATCATGAATTGACTGAATTAAGACACTGAAACCATCGAACACTGGGCTCAGTGGTTTGGAAGTTAAAGGTGCGTGTGCAAGACCGAACGTCCTAAATTCGACACCCTACGGTAGGTTCTGGGATTTACATTGCTGAGAAGTTTTATAATAAAACGAAACAACTGTCCAGTGCTCCCAGTGTTCACTGGTAATCCAATTAAATTCAGTTCATGATCCAAAAACTATGGAAACACCAGTTATATATATTCAAGTAGTAGTTTACAAAAGACTAAAGTTGAGTTCAGTCTTCTTATATATATTGAAATCAGCAGCTAGATTGGGGTTAAAGCGAACCCAAAGCTTTTGTGGTTGACAATGACTGTTCTGTTTTGGAAGTATTGATATGCCGTGTAGACTTCCAGTAGATAGCTTAGTAATAACCTAGGTGAGAGGAGATAGTAACAAACTATAATTTAATTCAGAAGAGATTTTTATACTACTATTCGCATTTCGTCTTTAACAGAAACAATTATACAAATACTGAGTTAGGAAAGGAACTATTCATATCGATGTTTATGTGGAAGAGATGCAATATAGCTAGCAGTAGAATCCAGGACGCGCAATTTGTTCTATTTACAAGTCATAAGCTGAGCGTATTTGTATCTAAGACTAGATGTACACTTCGGTATCCAAACTTGTTCACTTCAAAAACTATTAAGTTATCTACTCGGGTATTGAAGTCAGTTGGCCACTTACTCATGAAACGAGTCAGTCAGTCAGTTGCAACGTAGAACTTCGTACGTATGTACATCAGTTCATGTTGTCATACCACATTAGCACAGAGACGCAAATGTCGAATCAAATCCCACAGTGATAGAGATAGTAGAGGTATTTATGGTAATGAAGAAGACTAGGGTTTGAAGATATTATTCAAGAAGTATAATTCAGTGAGATAAGGTTAGAAATACAAAGGTAGAGGTCCTGACAAATCCAGAAGATTAGGATTTGAGAGGACACAACGAATGGATGCACTTGCGCCATTGCAAACGATTTCGAGCCATGTCGTTCAAGGTCTCTAACCATTGATTGCTATCGTCTCGTGGACCCCAACCAGGTAGCCTACATCTACCAACATGACTCAGTCAACTTGTCAGTGACCTCATGGATTTCTGCCATGTTTCATGAAACGAGTATGGATTTCAATTGGATTTGTAATGGTCTGGATAATCCCATTATTGATACTGTTGATACATGATCGTTGTAGTAAATCTATGGTATTTTTATGTATTATGATGTTTGTATTGTAGTGAATGAGAACACAGGTGGAGGCAACCGAATTGTATTTAACGAAAATTACAGAGTTACTCAGTAAAATCGGAACACCATATCGTAAATTGTTCATTTGCAAAAGATCAGTTCATCCTATGGAACTGGACTGTTCCTGTTGCCAAACATCAATCCATTGTCACTCTTCATGCGTTTCATACAAATTCCATTGTTTTCTAACTCTTCCGTTCTTGATCTTCCCCCCATATTATGCTACCAGACTTTACGTTGACACTCACGTTATATACTACTTATAAGTAGTTCGCACCACAGCACCACAGTATTAGTCTCTTTTACATCTTATATAATTTTACACAGTAAATAATATGTACAGCTTGTAATACAATGAATTTACTTAGAAAAATACTTGAACAGTAAGGAAGTCAACAGTTAATGCAGTGTAACATAATGTCGTATAGTTTAGAATTGTTGAAATGACATGACAGACAGATACATAGATAGAACTAGTTTAACACTGAGACTTAAACATTCATAGTAGTTATTGTTCATCAATAATTTAAAACCATTCACATTTATATACTCAAAAAAAACCTTTAAAATATGAAAATGAATTACCCAGAGGTATCTTCATGAAGCCATGTTGTACGTGGAAGAACAACAATATCTGATTGTTCATTTAAACAAATATCATCAATTCCTTCTCCTTCACTGAGTGTATTACATAAATCCAATCTAACAGGATTAGTTGATGATGGTACATCAAGTGATTGAAGTCTATTCGATGAACTGACTGATGTTAAATGATGTGTATCAGGCTGAGACGATGATGACGATGACGAGGATGACGTTAATGGTGAAGATGTCGATGGAGAAGTGAATAAATCACGTGAAACACCCTGAGCACTGGAGGATCGTAAATTGGAACCACGTGAATGCCAGTGTGATAAATTGTATGATAAAGAATTCACACGATTCGGTGTATCGTTAGGTGTATTATTATTATTATTGCTAGTATTATTATTATTATTATTACTATTATTACGTGACAGATTAGTACCAAGGCTAGAATGAGCTCGAACTACTACTTCATTCGATATGGTTGAATGCGATTTTTGTGTATGACATTTTTGAGCAGCATCTAATACAGAATCAACTAATTGTTGTGTAGCATTATTTGTATCCAGTATAGTTATATGAAATGAGCCTACAGGTGTAGAACTTGGTTGTGTACTGATAATTCCACGAAAACGTGTTACTTTCCATGTACGAACATGATGAAATTCATTGCAAACTAAAAATAAACAGAGAAAAGTATGCAATCTAAAAAAATGAGTTGAGTGAGAGAAAAAAAATACCATTTATTTGAAACAACCAGATTTTTTTCTGTTATAATACGGTTATATTGGGCAATCAACCATCCAAGTAATGATACTAATATGTATGTTTCTTACAGCGCGAGTACAGAGAATATCAAATAAAACCAAACTCGGAATATATGTTGTTGGGGATGTTAGATCCCCAAAACTCGCTTGATAAATACCTGATTTTGGATTTCACGTTTGCCAGAATGGGCTGATCAGTTGACCTGAGATTTCAACTCCCACCAGGAAAATCCATGGCTGTCATTGGCTGCTGTGTATTTTAATGTGCTATTTTCGTAACTGTCCCAAGGACGTTTCTATGATATATAAATAAACGAGAGTTGTATGCTTGATTGTACTGTGTGATTGCTGGGTGTTTGTAGAATATACTTTCTACGCTATATCAAGACTTCTGTTTTACCTTTTTGGATTCAAGGTAGCCTATCTGGACGCTGGTAATTGACTCGTTCGCGTTTATCGACTAAGGTGAACTCGTAATAGCCTCAAGCATACTTAGTGACGAACTCAATATATGTACACATCTATTCTCTTAGAAAATAAAGCTATATCTTTAATCAATAGTATGTCCTTGCTTCATAAAAAAATAGAACCAAATCTTAACTGATGACAGACGCTTATCTTGCCTGATTGACCTAATAGTAACACCTGTATTCAAGAAATCAACCTGGAATATACATACATACAAATACGAATGACGGATTAATATGAATGGGAAGTGTTAATGAAAGCATTGAGCAAAACAAACGAGTATAAAAAAGATCGCAAGTATATATATATACAAGAGAATAAAAATAAACAATATTAAAAGTGATTAAATCTGCAATAGTCTTTTCAGTAAGCCTATTTTTTAAGGTCAATGCTTCTCCTATCCATTTTTCATTATAGGGTTGCGGAGATCAGTCAGTCATTCAGATGAAACGTTGTTGAAGAATCCAGAAGATTAGGATTTGAGAGAACACAAAGGATAAATGCACTGGCGCCATTGCGAACCATTTTGAGCCATGTCATTCAAGGTCTCTAACCATCGATTATTATCATCTTGCGGACCCCAACCAGGTAGTCGACAATTACCGACATTGCTAAGTCCACTCGTCAATGATTTCGTGGATTTGTGCCATGTTTTTTCTGGCCGCCCCTAACTTTCTTCCAACCTATTCCTACACTACAAAACAAAGCTCGACGAGGGAATCGCTGGTTAGGCATACGCAACACGTGTCCCAACCACCTCAACTGATGAAGTTTCATTACTTCATCTATTGATCTGCCATTCTTACCTAGTACCCGTTTCCTAATAACAGCGTTGCTCACTCGGGTGTCCCACGATGTACGAGCAATGCTTCGAAGACATCTATGATCGAAAACCAATAACCGACGAGTATCTTCTACTCTGACTGGCCATGTTTCACAGCCATAAAGTAAGACGGAGCGAACCACTGCGCAGTACACTCGTCCTTTAGTCAGCAAACGGATATCTCGCCTACGCCATAAGTGACGCAGGTTGGCAAAAGCCAATCGAGCCTTCTGTATCCGTGCCGAGATTTCGTCAGTCACCAGGCCATCGGCACTGATGAGACTCCCAAGATAAGTGAAGCGGTCGACACGCTCGAATACTTTACTCCCTATCACTTGTTCAGGTGCCTACGGAAGCCAATCTTGAAGTAGCATTTTGTATTTCGAGGGGGAAAACCGCATCCCGAACATGCTTGGATTGTTGCTTAGGGTGGTCAGAAAACTCTGCATTTTGTCAGCGTCTTCATCAAGTAGGACTATGTCATCGGCACATTCTAGGTCAATAAGCGAGCCACCCGGTAGAAGGTCTACTCCTGAAAATTCAGACGAGGATAAGGTTATGGGTTGCGGAGATTGTTGAGTCGTCTTATTGAAATTATGAATTGATAAATGTTGTTAGACCACCATCAGAAACCTGTAAGTACTGGAAGGCTATTTCGCCCTGGTATCGGACTTATTTTAGCAGTAAGTATCCAGTCCTTTCAATAAGCCTAGTATTATTATTATTTATTTTTTGTAATGTCGATGATTTTTCTACCTAATTCACTATTTTTTCCGTATCCGTTATTGCTTATGATCACTTTAGCTTCTCGGTATCATTTGCAAAACGAAATTCAAGGATCAATAAACATATTTCAATAACTTTGACGCATACATTCACATAAATGTCATTGAAAAAAATTGTACATCTGTTATGATATGCAGTGGTCCAGATCAGAACGTGATACACGTCAACCTTGCAAAACTGACTACTACCTGGGCTAGAAGGCGAAAGTGTATTAGAAAGTCTATTTGACTTATGAATAATATATACAAATACTAGTATATGCAATATATATATAGATAGATAGATATAAATTCTATTCCTTTAGAAAATCAACCTATTTCTTGACCAATGATATGCATACGTCCTTTAGGACATTTCTGATGGTTATCACAAATGACCTTCTCATTCGGTCACTTCTGATTGGCTCATTATATTAACATCTTTCAATATATTTCAAAATATAATCATGCTAATGATGTAACGAATTAGTACAATGTCCTTATCTCAGCCAGGTCATTTCTAAACATTGCTTTACAGTCTAAATCTACATTAACTGATAGAAAATATTTTCTTAATGAAAGAAAATTTGTTGATGAAGAATTTCACACAATTAGTTTATTTGATAAATATTTGTAAATATTAACAAACAACAAATTAAGATAAATTCTAGCTTTACCTAATAATATTGACAATAAAAAGAAAAGTACCTGAGATCAAATATTTTTCTGATAATACAACACGTGTAACCATTGATCGATGAACATTGAAAGTTTGAAATAACTGAGGACTATAACCAACCGTTTCTGGATGTTGAACTATTAAGCATACACGACCAGATAATGTACCATAGGCAATTTCCATCCAATTACGACTTGAATAAGCTTCAGTGAAATATGTAGATAAACATATACAAATGCATAAATGTATAAATGTTTCATTTATATATAACGATGATTTCTTGTGAATTTGACAGTATTTTCATGCCTCAGTCAAATAACCCCTAATACTAATGAATACTAGTTATATGTTATATGAATTTTATAGTTAGGCATCCCAGAATAAAATAATAATGCTAGTTTGATAATTTATACTTGTAATACAGCTAAGAAATATCACCTGATGACCTTGAAACGTCAACTTGTTTAACCGATCTAGAGACAGTAAGTATAAATGAACAAGAGATTTTACTAGGCTTAGGAAATATGATAAAGAGTTTAGGATTCTGTTATAATGGAACGGATATTGTAAAAGTTGGAACTGGCTTTCTGTTAAGATATTCATCCAATATCCTAAGATAATTGTTGGTTAATTCCTACTGGTCAATTTTATGGTCGTCCTAGATATATCAATGTCATGTACTCCAATGTTGTTTCTTATTGATCGCCTTAACTGTCAATGTCACGAACTTTGATGCTGTTTCATATTCGACCTAAATGTATAAATACGCATTATCTGTAACGTTCTGTGACCCGGACCCGGATCCCTAGTCCGGGATCCTGATTCTCTTCTGGACTCGGACCTCGTACTTTCTGGATGCTTGTAGAATACAGGTTCTACTTCGTATCAAGTCTTCTTCTTTTTATTCAATATTGAGGTTGGGACACCTGGATTAGAGTAGCATGTCGTGTCACCGGAGCCTCGATTCTTGCTCTCGTTTTCCGACTAAGGTAAACTCGTAATAATTCAAGCATATAAAGTTGACGTGTTTACGTGCATGCGTAACACTTTCCAAATGACTATTAATTATAATTTTGTTGTATAATTACTGGGTAAACCACTTTTTGACTTATTCATGTATAAGTGATGTGATGTGATCTGGTATGTTTGTATATAAACTATGATTGTTTGGAATATAAGTATATTAAAAGCTGGTTGCTGAATTCTGGATTCAGAGCTAAACATAGAGAAGAGTTTGTGAATAGTGGACCGATAAGAAGTTGATTTCTGCCCCACAGTCAGTAGTACTGGTCGGGAATGTAATTGGCCAAGTTAGAGATACTAAGTTATCGAGTAAATAGTAAACCGAATAAGAATTAGGGTTCTGATTTAGTCAGCAGGTGGTTACAAGATATCATGGATTCTAGCACTATGGTTGATATCATCAGTTAGTGAAAAAAATCCTAGCACTAATTTCTAACCCAATTATAATAAATACGCCGTGATTTTGAAAAAAACTTGCACACTAACCATTGACTCGATGGTAGATTTTGGCCTTACCTAAGAAAATATTCATCACCTTAGATTTCCTGAAAAGATGGTAGGTCAAAAACTGGTGTACAGTTTTATTGATTTTTCTACTCACCGAATTAGTTATGCACAAATGAAGTATAACAACTAAATAAGGATGATTAAACTTCAGTTCTCCAATAAAAACTAGGTCAAATTCAAGGCCAATTTTATAGGCTAACCAATGAATTAGGTTCTCAAGTATCAAACTGAATTAAGAAGTGACTGAAGCAAAAAACAATCGAAGTAATTGGTTATCCTTCAGAAGATTCGAGGATTATATCATGAAATTTCACACTTAATACTATGAGATAATATTTACAATCTTCATGTGTTCTTTAGAGACTTTCAAGACCATTCTAGAAAGTGACAGATCGGACAATTACTAGTGACCTTGTTGGTAATCTGAGCATGTTTTTAAGAAGCTTCTAGGACCTCATAGTCGTACATGACAATCAAAATAATAACATTTTTTATGAGCTGAATTTTTTCCGATGTTATGTGGCCTTGTCTTCAAAAGTAAAAGCTCTTTGTAGACTTTGAAACGCAGTTAAGAATTTCGTGCCCAAGCATTGAAGTACGTGACGTATCAAGGCCGATGTTCTAAGTTTTGAGTTACGCTGGTTGTTTATGCTCCGTTTATATTATCCGATTGTTTGAATTAAAGGTAAGTGTAGTAAGGTTCAACATCATAACCTAGTGAATGATAATCAAATATTCCAGTCAATAACCTTTTATGAATCTCATTTAACTAAAGAAACAGATCAATAAACTATAAAAACAGAAATACTTACATCTTTTCGGTGATAAATGTACACTAAGAGCAGTGATTGGATCACGTAATGGGTCACGATACATTTCTGTGACTAAAAGATCATTGTCCACTATACGTAAAGGAAATTTTTGTATATCTGGAAGAGTAAACAATCAAAACGAAACAAGTGATTTGTGTGAAACAAATTTTAAAAGTCACAATACTCAGTGCAACAGACATGGTGTTCATTTTCATAGGACTGATTCCATGTTACTGAAACAAATTGTATTTACAAGCCTGCATAAAACATAATAAACTTAACTAATGACAAATAACATCGAAAGGAACACATTTATGTAGTAGGTTGTAGTAAAAATGTACTATTTAAATTATTTTACTCGGTAGTTAAAAACTTAAGGTGATGGAACGAGTTTAAAGCTGTGATTAATAGACCGACAAGTAGGTTTCTAAACCAATTCATTACAATTTCATAAAGATTCAGACTTGTATCATTTATGAGGCAAAACAAAATAGTGTCAAAGTAGGATTATTTAAGACTGTTTAAATATTTCCTTTACGAGCCTTTAATTCTGTAAACAATAACATTAAAAGCTTTCGAAACGAACGCTAATCGGTTAAAAAAAAATTAAAAATACTTGGATATAATGTAAATATATCTATTAAGTTCAATGAAATTTAAGCTACAAATTAATGCTCTAGTCCAATGCAGATAATAGAAAGTAAAGAGTAAACGAGTATGAAAAACAGTTTTGATTTCATGGTCTAATGAATGGCCGACATCCTCCAAAAATATGCATTTCCAATGAAGAAAACGTAAGATATTTCAGTCCACAAATTTGCATATCAATCAATCAATCAAAAGCAACGTAGAACTTCGTATCTACGTACATCAGTTCAAGTTGCCAGACCACATTAGCACAGAGATGCAATTGAGATTCAAATCCCATAGTAGTAGAGGTAGTAGAAGTATTAGCAGTAATCGGAGAGATTAGGGTTTGAAGATATTATTCAAGAAGTAGAATCTAGTGAAATAAACTTAAAAAGAGAAAGATAAAGGTGATGAGGAATTCAGAAGATTAAAATTTGAGAGAACACAAAGAGAGAATGTACCTGAGCCGTTGCAAACGGTTTTGAGTCATATCATTCAAGCTCTCCAACCATCGATTACTATCATATCGCTGCCCCCAACCAAATACTTCACACCTACCAGCATGTCTCAGTCAACAAACGGCAGAAATCAAACATTTTAACGGAAATATACTTGATAATGATATTTGTTGAAATTGAAATTCTAGGGCTCTCATAGATTTTTCCAAAAAAATATTACGTACAGTTTAATGACAAGCGTTCACATAATCACAAATAACATAAGTAATATGCATTTCATTACTGGAAAAACACACTGTAAAAGAAGACTGTCACTTACTTATACTACATATACATCCACTTGCACAGCCTAAAAGTAACAGCTCTGAACCAGCGACACCATAACTCAGTATTGGGACAGTACTCCATACCTAAGACATAAAACAGATTATTGAAATAAAATGAAGTTAATTTTTATGACGACGATATGTTTTTCTCTTAGAATTCCACATAATCATCACAAATTATTCATGTAACATGACAAATCAAAACACAATAATCAAACCCTTTTATTGAAAAGAAAAGGTTAACCAGCCAACTTAGACAATATCTTTTAAAAAGCTATTGGGACATACTTTGATTGAAATTTATGACAAAGTTATACTTCGAACACATTCGTTTCCATGATCTACTGGTCATATATCATTATATAAAAACTCTACATTTATTTAAATTTCGATATTTTGTCAACAATGGTCAACAATAAATTCAATATCAAACTGTATAACTGCTCAGTTGAAGTTAGGACTACATTTTGTAATTAAAAAAAAACTGTTAAAGATTTACAAGGTTCCACAAAACCCAATACAGGTAGTATGACCGTTCACGTTAGAAATGCCCAAGCATCATTGTAATTTCTCTAATGATTCTATCAAAAAGGTTTATAATACTAGAAGAATCATAAAGAAGACTTTTTTTTACCAAAAAAAATGCTAAACAGTGTATTTTGAAGAGCTTTACACTTGTGAACGCATAAATTTTTTTGAGATAATGGTTTTATCTCGAGTACAAGTAAGAGGATGTGTTAATATTCGATTTAACATGTTTAAATGTTATTTCAACTAACCGTTACAAATAATTGTGATGTTTTAATTAACACTAAGGCTTAAATTTGAGGCAATAAAAAAGGAAGAGTCATTTGAAGTTCTTTCTATAAAAGGATAATCGATTTTTTGAACAAGTGTAAAATTTTAAATACAGGCAAAATAATTTTTTTCTCAATGAATAACAAATTTTGCCAGGATAATATGAATTTGTAACAGTAATTTGACTCAATTATAAAGTATAGATGTGTGGATTCAGTTTTAAGATATACTATTCTGTGTGATACTACTCGAATGCGGAAATTAAAGATTTGAACCTTTAACTTATTGATTAAAATCCGAATGTTGTAACTAATGAGCTAGTTCACTACACTATGATAATTAGTTAATAAATGAGATGATTTTAATTAATTTTAAACTAGTACTCGTTAGTCTTACCACAATCGACGACCGCCTACAACGTTAACATCACCTCATACTAAATATGAAGATAGTTCTTAATAAAGAGACTTTGTGGAGACCGTGAAATTTTCATTATCTACTTCATTTTACTTCAAAAACTATTCATAGAAAGAAAGCACTAAACAACTATTTTGTTTTAATATGGTAATATTTACTATTGCTTATTCACAACCTCATTACAGAGATAACACATGCCCCGACCACCTCAATTGTTGAGATTTCTATACTTCATCTGTTGACCCGTCATCCTTACCTGGTAACCGTTTAGTAGCAACAGCATTGTTCACTCGATAGTCCCAAGATAAACGAGCAACGCTTCGGAGATACCTATGATCGAATACTAGTAACCTACGAATATCTTCTACTTTGACCGGCCATGTTTCAAAGCCATACAGTAGGGCTGGGCGAAATGCTGCATAGTAAACCCGTCTTCCGGTTAGCAGATGGATATCTCCCTTACGCCTTAATTGACGCAAGCTGGCAAAAGCCAATCGAGACTTCTGTATCCGTTCTAAGATTTCGTCACACACCAGGCCATCAGCGCTGATGAGAAAAGTGAAGCGGTCTACACACTAAACTACTTCTCTCCCAATCACTAGTTGATGCAAGCCATTCCTGAAGTAACAGTGCATTTCGACGGGGAGAATCGCATCACGAACGTGCTTTCATTGTTACTTACGGTAGTCAAAAGACTGCATTTTGTCAGCATCTTCACCAAGTAGAACTATGTCATCGGCAAATTCTAAGTCCATAAGCGAATCCCCTGGTAAAAGTTCAGCTCCTGAAAAGTCAGATGATGAATTGCCAGTCGTAGAGGGGAGTTTGTACAGATTGCTTAATTCTTATAATGAATCTCAGACAACTATTTCGTAGTTTCCTTATAATTAGGTTTAGTCTACTTTATTTAAATAATGAAATACATTTTCAAAACTGATTTATCTTGATTTTTAACACAGAGAACCAGAACAAAAAAAGTTGGTATCGATTTATATGAATGATATTTTCAAAAATGGTTATTTACACATTGAACATGGTTAAAAACAAAAAAAGTACACTAGATAAATGTGTTTTATCAAAATCGTTTTTTTTTTCAAAAAAAAAAGGTGAAATTCATGTTGTTGTTGTTAATGTTTTTTCTATTTCCTCCAGTTTGACAAACAATTTAAGAATCAATAAAAATCAATATGTAGATATAAAAAAAACACATGTTTATACTTACTTGCCATGAATTAGTCATTACATGTCGAACACCAACTAAACCATGTCGACTGAGTGCAACAAGATGAGCACCAATAAATAATAAATAATCTACAGCACGTCTATTCAAATCATACTGACCGACCTATTTTTATGTTTAGTTTTATAACAATAGAAAAAAGTCCAAATGAGACAAGAGAAATAATAATAAGATATAATATTTTATTTACAGCTAAACTACCTTTAAAACAAATTGTTTTAAAACAGTAAAGAGAAAATCACTTGTGAAAATTGTTGGGGATGTTAGATCTCCAGAACTCGCTTGATAAATATCTTTATTTTGGATTTATTTCATGGGTCGATCAGTTGACCTTGAGATCACATTTCCCACCAGAAAAGTCCTTGGCTGTGATTGGTTACTGTGTTATTTTAGTGTGCTATTTTTGTGACTGTCCCATGGACGTCTCTATGGAGTATAAATAAACGCGATTTGAGTGCTTGGATTCATTGTATGTTGGCTGTGTGTTTGTAGAATACACTTTCTACGCTATATCAAGACTTCTTGCTGGTACAGTCGGGACAGTCGAATCACAGTAGCCTACCTGTACGCTGGTTCATTGTTTTGTTCTCGTTATTCGACTAAGGTGAACTCGTAAACGTTTTAAGCATACCTAAAGACGACTATAACAAAATCAAGTGTGTAATAAGCAACTTCTTTTTTCTAATCAAATAACGAATAATAATAAACATGCTGCTGAAGAGTCTTATACTAGGACGAAACGGCTGCTGAGTGCTTTCAGGTTTTTTATAGGAGACCAAGAATAACGTTTCGTGGACTCGAATCGTTTGCATTAGTAGTGCAGGGTGTTAAAGGGATGTGAGAAGGGTGAGTCGTGGGGATAAGAGAGATGTTAGGGTTTGGGAAGGATTTGTTTGTGACCAGTTCGGTCTCGTGTGCTTTTACTGGTATGAGGGTGGATGTCACTTCACGGCTGCACACACCGTGGAAGGGTGTTTCTTGAGGGACCTGAAAAGGAAGGTAGATTAGTGTTGGTCTTAGAGACCTGGGAGCGTGACCGCAGAGCCTAAGGAACAACTGTTTGAGGCCGGTCACGCACAGCCTCTTTATGAGTTTTTAAAAGTGTTAGCTCCGTTCTTTTTAAAAAGCCTTACTGCCGGAGACGGAAATCCGTGAGGTAGGGTGAGGTGTGACATTTTTAGGGTTGACCTTTTCTAACCCCTTCCTTCCTTGTGTGAGGACAGCATCACCGCAGATGCTAATTGTCCGAAGGAAACACCTTACTGCTGTCACACTCCTCTAGAATCAGCAGTACGACTTCACCCTCAGACCTAGGATAGTTGCTTTTAGTTTTATCGTTCTCCAATCAACCTGCCTGACATGGTAGGACCTACAGGAACATATGTTCCAGCCAATATAGCTCGGTTGGGTCATCACGATAGCCAGGTTTTTAATGGTTGTCTAACAACAATGATTGATTCACGATTCCAATGTAATATGACCACGCCTAGGACTAATACTGAATGTTTAACAAAGATAACGAAATAACCAACTTGAATGATAAACACATTTATGTCTTTTTTTGTTCTATTTTATAAAATAATCATTTACCATTTCACAAGTCCAAGGTTCTTTAATTTTAGCTAACGGTGGATAATTATTCAATCCTTTCACATTTTGCATAGGCATAAATGGATATAATGGAGAGAGAAAATAAGTAGCCGGTGATGTAGTCATTCCGTATGTACCAGCATATGAAACAACTGCAGAGATTAATCCTGATGATGGATATAAATACCATAGGGTAATAGTTGATCCAACAGCTACTGCTAATGTACACCCACCTGCACAATTCGAAGAAGATGCATTTATCACAGAAGGTAAATTATTCGGTCCAGATATAGAAGTTGGATTAGATTGTGATGTTGTAGTAGTCTGTGTAGGTGAATTAATGGGAAAGTTAGAATTTGTATTGATATTTGAATTCATGGCATTATTAGATACAGGTTGATTAAAACTATTCGAATTACTACTGCTATTGTTGATGCTAACGTTCGTTGAATTACTGGTAACTGGATTTATATTTGATGAATTCGTGGTGGCGCTTAAAGGAAATAAAGAAGTAGCCACTGTTCCAGGTTGAATAGGACTAGGAATGAAATTGTTTTGATTTGGTGCTTTTCCAGTAAGAGCCATTCGATCAATTGGTCCTGGTAAAATAGGACTTAACCATGTTAAATGCCAACCAATAGGATCTTTTAACCTATGTGAATCAAATGAAAAGAGAATCCAATTAAATATTACTAAATGAATGGACTATAATGTGTAAAAGACAATGTATACTGTATGAAAATATCTGCTTCATAAGATATATACATTTCGTCATTCACATATTTTTGATAATACGGTAGCATAAGGTTCTTTCGTTACGTTCATCTCTTGAATGATAAACCATGCGCTAATGGAACTGTTACGACCACACTTGATAATAATAATAATAATAGTAATAATAATAATAATAATATAAGAACTTTCAACTCCTCCTAATTTTCCGAACTTTTGATGAAACAATATACAATCTGTTATGTTCGTCACTAGGTACGCTTGAAGCTAGTACGAATTCACCTTAGTCGATAAACGCGAACGAGACAATGAACCAGCGTCCAGATAGGCTACCTTGAATCCCAAGCTGTAAACAGAAGTCTTGGTAAGCGTAGAAAGTATATTCTACAAACACCCAGCAATCACAATACAATCAAGCACACAACTCTCGTTTATTTATACATCATAGAAACGTCCTTGGGACAGTTATGAAAATAGCACACTAAAATACACAGCAGCCAATCACAGCCATGGATTTTGCTGGTGGGAAATGAAATCTCAAGGTCAACTGATCAGCCCATGCTCGCGAACGTGAAATCCAAAATAAGGCATTTATCAAGCGGGTTCTGGGGATCTAACATCCCCAACACAATCTTATAATTATTTGAGTTTATATAACAAATAGTTGATGATTCGTCTCTTAATGACTAGTGATAATGACTTTTAGTCAAAGTAAATGCGTTCACAATTCTAGGTTGCTGATAGTGCTACCTAGTGGATGACATCGACTTGGGTGAAGGGGGCTTCACACCTATAGTCTAGTAGCTAGAAATTGTATCTATTAACCAATCAGCAACGGTTTCACTTAGATAATCTGTGACTATCTATTTCTGTCCAATAGTTACACAGTTTTACATGTTCAATTCATATTTATCGATGGAAATTGTACTTCTTTGTATTTCTCATAATTTCATTTATATAAACACATGGTCTACAAATCATTCTAAGTAAGTTTTTTAGTCAATAACTATTCACTGTTTGTCTATCTTTACAATTGGTTGTCTCTAGAGATTGAATGATTTACGATTGTGTAAGGTTGAATATTTTTATGTATAACTGATTGGTCAGTTGCTTCTAATTGTAGTATATCACAAAATCTTACAATGTCTTTGGGAAAACTGAGGAACAAAATAAAGTAATTCAATTAATTAGCCCATGTTATGTATTCTAAGACATTTAGGAAGTAAATATAGACCAAATTATTTGAAAATGTAGATCATAACAAGTTAAGAACGAATAGAAATCAAAAAATATGTGTCACTTGACAAGTAACAAAAAGTACAAAATCAAGTTATCAAAACACAAAATTAACATGTCATTCATTGCTTACGAGAATACACCCACACAATCGGAATAAGCAGCAGCCATAATGTTTTGATGACAAACAAGTACAGTCACAGGTTTTTGATGTAATTCAGGATTGGCATTATTTTCAAAATTATGATTGGTTGATTGATTAACTGGATTCGATGTGCTTGCCATTGTTTCATCAGTAATTGTTTGTACAGGAAAGTCAGGTATACCGTTGTTTCGATCACTAAATTGATAACAACGGGAAAACTTGATAAAAAATGGTGAAAATAATACTTATCTTTAAAAAATTATGAAATGAATTGCATTGATTATGGTTAAATAACTTCTACGTGTGCTTTTGTTTTAGTGCTTACCAAAAGCATACAACTAGAAAGACTCTCCTTAGTTGATTCGGAAATAATGTTGGTGCTAATAGTGTACTGAAGGAGGAAATGATCGAATGACTAACGTAGGATGGTATCAATACTCATGCTGACTTAGGATTTCATCAACTTTCCCCATTCTTGTTTAACTTTATCAGAGACATGCTCCTAGATATAAGCTTATCCTCGTCCGACTTTCCAGGAGTCGACTTTCTACCAGGAAAATCGTCTACTAACCTACAATATGCCGATAACATAGTTCTATTCGGTGAAGACGCTGACAAAATGTAGAGTCTTCTGACTACCATAAGCAACAGTGCAAGCATGTTCGGGATGCGGTTTTCTCCCTCGAAATGCAAAATGTTGCTTCAGGATTGGCTTGCGACTTCACCGGCACTAGTGATAGGGAGTGAAGTAGTCGAACGTGTTGACCGCTTCACGTATCTGGGGAGTTTCGTCAGTGCTGATGATGGCCTGGTGACTGAAGGAATCTCAGCATGGATACAAAAGGTTCGATTAGCTTTTGCCAACCTGTGTCACCTATGGCGCAGGCGGAA